TGGTTTGGGACCACTGAGCACGCGAGTTTGTGGGCAGTAGCAGGCCAACTCAGCACGTGCTTTTCAGGGCTTCCCTCCACTACTCATTAAATGTGCAAAACTAGAATGAATCTTCTGCTAGAACATGGAGCCGCCGCCATGTGTTTTGTCTTTTTTTTTTTCTTTTTTTTTTTGTTTTTTTTTTTTTTTTAACAGACATTTGGCTCCATTCTATTTGTGGGGAGCAGCACCTGCTGGGAACCGGGCCCAGCGTCCCTTATAAAACACTCTCAGTAGAACCTTGGGGCCGGGGTCCCCACAGTCTACCCAGTGTAACTTGGAAGGAAAAACAGACCAGCAATTCTCTTTTGTTCTTGAGAGGAGAACGATAGTTAAGGTAGCATAACCAGAAATGGAGGGGATACCTGGCCCTCTCAGTGAAGTACTGCCTGATGGGAAGCTAGTAAGCTAGGCCTGGAAGGGTAGTCCCACAGAAGTTCTGAGTAGAAGAGGCTATTCCTCTCTGTGAAGCCGGCCCACCGAAAGGGGGTAAACCATTTCCTTCGAAACTGTTCTCTGGCTAACTGGATAGAAGTAGCTTGCCGTTTAAATTTAATCCATTCTGACATAATGTCTAATCTGATTGAATGCTTGAACTGCGAAAGTAGAGAGGTAACAGAGGAGTTGGAATTTAGGAAGCACCTATCTCTTCTGGCGAGCCAGATACACCAAAATGCCCTTAATCTGAATGACTGAGCAACAGTACCAATCTGATGCTTGCTGATGTGAGGGCTCAATCTGCCTGTAATAACAAAGTCCTGGTTCCAAAAGCCTGCAGAACCATATGCCTCTGCCCACAGCAGGTTCAGGTTGTCCCAGAAACCTCTAGCAATAACGCATTCCCACCACAGGTGTAGCCAGTCCTCTAGGCAGGGGTGCAGGCATGCGTCACATAGCGTGGAGATGTCCATCCCTTTCTCTGAACACCACAGTCAGGTCGGGACACATGAGTGAAGGTGCATCCATTGAAGGCCCCCTACTTTGGTCTCAAGAGAAGAGATAATAATGTGGATAACGAACCGTAACCATTTGGAGGACAGCAGTTGGAGGTTAAGGGCAGAAAGTCTGCGCTGCCAATTTAGAGTGAGACCTGTTTGTAAAGAGTGGGCTTCAGAGAAGAGGGAGTAACCAATCTGGGCAGAGTAATCCCTGATGGGCACATTGCCCAGGGAATCTTCGGCCTGTGAGACTTTCCACCCGTACCGACAAACATCAGTCTTCCAATCCTTAATAGGAATAGCTGCCATGGTGACTCGAAAAACAGGGTGTCCCTGTGTATCCTTGGAATAGTGGACTCTTACCTCCTCCACGCCCAACAGAGTAGTTAGCTGTTTCCCGGATCTGGCTTAGCCTGTCACCGGCCGGGGACCATTCTGAGGCTTCTACTGTGCCGTCTTCATTGACTTTATCAATTCTGAGGAATTTGTCCGTAGATGAAGAGTCTTTAAACCATTGGTCTTCCTTGAATACATTGTCTGTCTGACGAAGGGTATCTATCCATGTATGAGGGATGGCCTCCGTTATTTCTCTCAAGTGGCCTGTTTGGTGTTGTAGTCCGGTGAGCTGAAGGTGAAGGTCTCTTGCAGTCTTCCAGTTCTTAGAGTCTTCGTCCCAGATGTGGCGAATCAACCATATGCCTCTCTGCATCCATTTGAGTCCGAAATTTCCTGTTGCTTTGGCGACCGAGAAGGGAAGCCCCGCCCTGTTACGGATTGAGGGATTCTCGAACAGACAGGTGTTCAGGATCTCGTCTCGAGTGGAGGGGTCAGTGTGACAAACTACATTCTGTAAGGCGCCATCTTCTGCACAACCGGGATTGGGGGTACACAGAGGGATCAGGGATAAATTGCATGGCGGTCCCTCCTTCTTGATTTTTCGAAGTTTCCTCCTTGGTCCTTCGGGGGAGAGAAAGTGGCGGGTATGGACCTTGGGACAATAGGCCCACGCCTTATCAAGCGCGGGGGGGGGGAACAACTTCGGCTATGACCTTTTTCTCTTTTCTTTTATTTTCTTTTGTTTTCAAATAAGGCGTCCGTCTTTTTGGCTCGATAATTGCGCGGGTAATTCTTTCGGAATTTTTGAATTTAGAACGAGCCCATGCGGGCTCTCAGAATTTCTTTTTGTAATTAGGACTTTAATTAGACTAGGAAATTGGATGCGTCGGAATTTTTGCCTGTAACTGCACATCGCCTCTTGCTTGCGCGCGCGCTTTGCAGTACAGGGACCTGCGCTCTGTTCCCGCCGCGCCTAAATTCTAATCTCAACTGTAAACTCTTCGTGTTCCTTCCCCGCTACGCAGGACTAACTGTAATCTTCCCCGTTCTTGAAATTCCCTTCCCGCGTCACCGCATGCGCACTCTACATCCTTTCTCATTGGCCGGATTGTTGCATGGTTGGATCGAAGCATGGAGTGAGGCTACATCCCCCACGCCGCGGCCCAGTCATGCACTCGTAGGCACTTCCTTTCTCCCTTCTTTCATGTTCCTCTGGCAATCCCGACTATTGCGCGCTGATTAGCAAGCTATAAATTCTGCAAGCGCGATTAATTTTCTCTCGAAGCTACTTGGGAGTTAGCGTGGTCGAGAGGATCGCCTAATGTGCAGAAAGACGGTGAGACTCAGTAGAGAGTTGGGCGATCGGACGAGCTGGTGCTGAGTGCGCGGGGTTGACGCGTGGCCGCGAGGGACCGTGGCACGTGGGCGAACCTGGCTTGCACGCTCAGGCTAAGCGGGGTGACGACTATGTGAGGTCTTTGGGATGCGCGGCGACGGACTGCCCGCAGAGAGAGAGAGAGAGAGAGAGAGAGAGAGAGAGAGAGAGAGAGAGAGAGAGAGAGAGAGAGAGAGAGAG